TTTGGATCCTAGTCAGTACTCAATTTCTCCACATTCACCCTTAGGTACTTCTGATCACGGTTTGATCTCTCTAAAACTATTATCAAATTCTTCTACTTCATCAGAATCCCCCTATCATTGTACCACATACAACTACCTTAAAGCTGACTGGGACTCTTTCCGTGATTATCTTCGTGATGGCCCTTGGGTAGAAATCTTTCGTCTTCCTGCTGACAAATGTGCTTCTTACATAACTTCGTGGATTCAGGCTGGCATGGAATCTTTTATTCCCTCTCGACGATTCCAGGTTAAGCCTCACTCTTCTCCTTGGTTTTCCTCACATTGCGCTGCAGCAATTTCTAATCGAAACCGTTACTTCCATATCTATCAGCAAAACAATTCTCCAGAAAACAGACATCTGTTCACTATCGCCAGAAACCATTGTAAAAAGGTTTTGTCTGACGCCAAAACTCGCTATTCCCAGGTCATTAAATCTCGTATCTCATCACAAAAATTAGGCTCTCGAGACTTCTGGAGAATCTTTAACAGTATCAATAATAAGGGCAAATCTGTTATTCCTTCTCTCTTGTATGGTTCAGACTTTGTCACCTCACCTAAAGACAAAGCTGAATTGTTTGCTAAGAACTTTTCATCAATATCATCTCTTGATTCCACTAGTTGCGTTTTACCTGACATGGCCGTCAAACAGGTTGATCCCTTGCTTGACATTCGCATCACTTCAGCTTCTGTATCTAAAGTAATTTCCTGCTTAGACTCTTCAACAGCTTGTGGTCCTGACAACATTCCTGTTGTAGTCTTGCAGAGGTGTTCTCCGGAGCTTTCATCCATACTTTCTAAACTATTTAACAAGTGCTTATCAGAGTCTTGTTTTCCATCATGCTGGAAAGCAGCATCTGTTATCCCTATTTTCAAAAATTCCGGAGAGCGATCTGATTCATCTAACTACCGTCCCATTAGTCTTCTTCCTGTCATAAGCAAGGTTTTTGAATCTTTAATTAACAAACACTTAATCTCTCATCTTGAATCAAATAACTTACTTTCTGACCATCAATATGGATTTCGGTCTTCTCGTTCTACACCTGATGTGCTAACAGTAATAACCGATAGGTTTTACCGTGCATTAGATAGAGGTGGAGAGGTTAAGGCTATAGCACTTGACATTTCTAAAGCTTTTGATAAAGTTTGGCATGCTGGTCTTCTCCATAAGCTTTCTTCTTATGGTGTAGCTGGTAACGTCTTTAAGATTATTGAGTCCTTTCTTTCCAATCGTAGTATAAAAGTTGTCCTCGATGGACAACACTCTTCTTCACATCCTGTAACTTCAGGGGTTCCTCAGGGTTCAGTCCTTGGCCCTGTACTCTTTTTAATTTACATTAACGATCTTCCGGATGTTCTCACATCTAAGGTGGCATTGTTCGCTGACGACACTACCATTTACTCTTGTCATGATAAGAAGCCTTCACTCTCTGATTGCTTGGAGGGGGTATCTGAGCTTGAAAAGGATCTCACTTCTGCTACAGCATGGGGCTCACAGTGGCTGGTGAACTTTAATTCAGATAAAACTCAATTTTATTCGGCCAATCGTTATCGTAATAATTTAGATCTTCCTATATTTATGAATGGTAATGTACTAGATGAGTCATCTACCATTCATCTTCTAGGATTAACTCTTACTTCTGATCTTTCTTTTAAACCGTATATCAAATCCATTGCAAAATTAGCATCTGCTAAGGTTGCATCTCTTTATCGAGCTCGACACTTTCTTACTCCAGATTCTATTCTCTATCTCTATAAATCTCAAATCCGTCCCTGTATGGAATACTGTTGCCACATCTGGGGCGGATCTTCTAACGATGCTCTTTCTCTTTTAGACAAGGTGCAAAAACGAATTGTAAACATAGTTGGACCTGCTCTGGCAGCCAACCTTCAACCTCTGTCACATCGTCGTAATGTTGCTTCTCTTTCTTTTTTCTACAAATACTATAATGGGCACTGCTCTAAAGAGCTAGCGTCCCTTGTGCCATCTACTAAAATTCATTCTCGTGTTACTCGCCATTCAATTAAGTCTCATCCTTTTTCTGTGACTGTTCCTTAGTGCTTCAAAAACTCTTATTCTTCTAGTTTTTTTCCTCGAACATCAGTTCTTTGGAATTCGCTTCATTCATCTTGCTTTCCTGATTCATATAATTTGCAATCTTTTAAGTCATCAGTCAATCGTTATCTTGCTCTACAGATTTAGTCTTTTCTCTTCCAGTAACTTCCAACTCTTATAGTGGTTGCTTGCAGCCTTGTTGGAAGTGAAGATGTTAAAAAAAAAAAAAAAAAAAAAATTGAATTGGTGAATGTTAAAAGGGCAGATGTCCAACAATGTAAACTTTCAGGAAACTAAAAAAAAACTGCATTTTCCCTTGTAGTAAATTTTTGTTAATGGTTCAATAATTTTTAATTTTGAAGTTGAAAAACATTGTCCTCTTCAAAAAAAAAATTATTAAATCATTAACAAAAAATTTACTATGGAGGAAAATGCAGTTTTTTTTTTAGTTTCACAAAAGTTTACATAGTTGGACTTCCTCCTATTTAACATTCACCAATTCAATTATACTTTTTTATTTTATTTAAAGTCTTTGCATAAAATAAAAAAAACTTCAAAAAAGATCAACGATTACAAGTTATTTATAACGTAACAATTTTTTAAATTGCTAAAACGTCAAAACCGCCGTGGTCAAATTGTAAAAAAAAAAAATTATAAGCCTGGTCAGTAAAAGCGTGCAATCACACGCCATTCCTGATTGCACGTCATTCCCAAGCCTGATGTATGTATGTATGCGCATATAAAAGCACAAAATCAAGATTTTTTTTATTTATTATGAATATTATTCCACTAGACATAAACATTACTGTTTTTATCACCATCAAAAAGTCTTTAAAATAAAATCAAAAAGTATTACTAGATACTCAACACATAGGTGTTCATTGTTAAAAGAAATAACAAATTATTTTCTAGCTGACCTAGATGGTCAGCTAGAAAATAATTTGTCATTTCTTTTAACAATGAAAACCATTTTATGAAACAATAATAGAATGCAATATTGTTACTTCTTAGTTTTACTAGAAAAATTGTTCTTAATGATTTTAAAACTACTTTTTTTTAACTAAATATTCTTCATTTATTTAAAAGTTATTTGATGTAGATCAACCATTATATTATTGTCAATAAAATTCTTTTTATTTGGGACAACTTTTGCTAGGTAGTATTTAATTCAACTAACACTTTTTGAAAAACAGTTTGTTTTAAATGAAAAATGTAGAAGGTCAGTCAAACTACTATAAAACTGGACTTAAACCACCTGAGTAGGGTTTATGTTACTATTTAAAGTTTATATATGATTACATTTAAGAAAAAGGTTACTATTTTAAAAATTGATACTACAATTTACTCTTGTCATGATAAGAAGCCAACACTCTCTGATTGCTTGGAGAGGACATTTGAGCTTGAAAAGGATCTCACTTCTGGTACAGCATGGGGCTCACAGTGCTGGTGAACTTTAGTTCAGATAAAACTCAATTTTTTTCAGCCAATAGTTATCACAATAATTAAGATCTTCCTATATTTATTAATAGTAATGTACTCAACGAGTCATTTACCTCACATTTTCTAGGATTAACTCTTACTTCTGATCTTTCTTGGAAACTGTATATCAAATCCATTGCTTAATTAGCATCTGCTAAGGGTGCATCACTTTATTGAGCTTGACACTTTCTTACTCTGGATTCTATTATCTATCTCTATAAATCTCCAATCCGGCCTTGTATGGAATATGTTGCCATATCTGGGGTGGACCTTCTAATGATCCCCTTTTTCTTTTAGACAAAAACGCATGTAAACAAAGTTAGACCTGCTCTTGCAGCAAACCTCTAACTATTATCACATCACCATGTTGCTTCTCTTTCTCTTTTCTACAAATACTATAATAGATACTGCTCTAAAAAGCTAGCGTCTCTTGTGCAATCTACTAAAATTTATTCTCATGATACTCGTCATTCAATTAAGTCTTATCCTTTTTCTGTGACTGTTTTAAAGTGCTCCAAAAACTGTTATTCTTCTAGTTTTTTTCTGTTTTACAGTATACTCTGTTTTATTCCTGAGTATACGTTTTATACTTGTCAAAGATTTCTTACTTAATTTAAACCTTATGATATAAATGTAATCTTAAAAATTATAATAAGTAATTATTTACTTGTAGGTAGATGATAAGTAGATAGACCTTGGCCATTTGTTTAGCAACTGAATCTACTACCAAAGGTTTTTATACTTTAACCTTTTTAACAAGTCAACCATTACAAATGAGGTTTAGGAATTATTTTTTTTTATTTTAACTTTAAAAAAAATTACATTCACATAGTAGTTATAACTTTTTAGACAAAAAATTTCTTTCGCCATAGTTGATTTTTATTTTTAAAATAACAAAACAAAATAACACTTTAAATTAAAATTATTTAGAATTTTCATAATGCAGAATTTAATTTAAAAAAATTGCATGACATTTTAAAAACCTTGTGAACAAATAAACAATGATATACTTCTTTTCTTATAATTGACAGTTTTCTAAACATTTTTTAATGTTATTATCAACTCTAAATATATAAATTTAGTTTTATATGGTTTTTAACAGGTACTCACACATTACATTAAAAACAAGCTTTAAACAATTATACAAATGAATGCATTTTTTTAAATTTGATTTATTCAAAGCAACTTAATTAAACTCGTATTTTTTTTTATTGACATAAGAAAATGATTCAAAAAAATTGGTTTAGACTTGTGTAAATTTTTTTAAGTTAGGTTTTATTCAAATGACTGTCCCTAATATCTAAAAGAATTATATCAAAATCAACTACTTTTCAAAGCTTTAAGAAGTTTTAAGTTTAAAAATATTGAAGTTAAACATCATAGTAAACTGGGTAATCTAGATATAATGTTACATAAGATAAAAACTTACTGGAGGAAAACGTGCTTCGTACTTCCTTTTCTTTGAAGGCATTTATAATAGAGGAAGCCTCAAAAACAGACAAAAAAAACATGAGAAATGATAGAACAATGGGCTTTTTTTTACCCCGTAGAACACGATTTCTATTTACTTGGACAAGTGCATTTTCTTGTCCAAGACAAATTTACAAATACAAGCAAAAAATCTAATTTTGAGCGTTGCTGTTCCCGAGTTGGCGCAGTGTAAAAAAAAATGACATATGGAACAATCGATTTAATTTCAATTTGCATTTAATTTTTGGAAGTTATGTTTTTAAGCGTACTTTTTATTGTTAACTTTTTATTGTTAAAAACTCAGTTAATAGACATAAAAATAAAGTTAGTGAATTTTTTTTCTTTTAAAATTAATAATAAATTCATGTTTTTTATAATTAAGCAATATATAATTTACTCGTATTTGTTTAATTTCACTTTTAGTTTTTTCTTATTTCACCTCTTCCCAAATTACCGTAATTTTTAGCGGAAGAAAAAAGCTTTTTTTTTTTAAAACGAACTTTTTTAAAAATATTTTTTTTTAAATACTTTAACAATATCAAATAAATATATGTATATAAATGTTTACCTAAACTTTCTGACTCGGAGAAGCCCTTCAGTGGATTGAAAGCTCGCACTATGGGGATCACTTAGATTTAAGTATAGAAATCAGAATAAAACGTCCTGGCAAGTTATTTACATTTGAATTTTTATATTTTATTGATTGCACAAACATGCAAAATGACAGCTTGTTTTGCTTTGTTTGTTTGGGCCGGTTCAAGAATTTTTTTTGGTATTTGCCTTGACGCCCTTGATCATAAAAAATACTAAAAAAAATATTTTGAGAGTTTATATTTTTATAAAAGAGATAGAATAAGTATTGTTTACATAAATGTTTCTAAAAAAATTCAATTCAGAAAAAACCCTTTCTCCCGGGAACAAAAGCAAAAAATTTCAATGCTACACATACATTAGGAATAATGTCAATTAAATAAATTAGAAAATGTTGACAATGACACTGTTATTTTGGTGCAGCTATCGGTCGGCAACATTGGAGCTAAGATTATAATTTCACCAAACAGTTCATTCCTTTTGATGTTACTCTTACCATCAGCTGTCAAAACAAAATACAAGTTTTTACACTTTTTTTTAACTGCATCTGTTTCATACTCTTTATGTTATAGAGGAATTCGAAATGTTTGCTGTGATTTTCTATTTGTTTTAATCTTTCATTAATTCCAGTGTCTACAACTACAAAAAAGAAATTTACATTAAAAAACTCCATTGACTACTTCACATGTTCATCCTCATAGTAAAATTGCTTTTTCTTGGCCTGACCACAACTTCATCATAGAATCTTAAATTGATGTAAAGGCGTCCCGAGGAGGGGGCGTAGGAGGGTTTCAAGCCCCCCTACGAAATTTATTAGTTGGCAAATTGGACTCTGGAGTCGAAAAAATTGGATCTATAGTTGGAAGTTGGCAAATGTTTCTTTAAGATCTCTTCGTGACGGCCCTGGATCGCCGTCACGAAGAGATCTTAAAGAATCTATAATAACACTATACAGCCCATTGGGCTGTATAGTGTTATTATAGATTCTTTAAGATTCATAAAATGGGCTGTATAGTCTTATTATAGATGCCGATCCATGGCATCTATAATAACACTATACAGCCCATTTTCCAATCTCATATTCTCCAAAAAAATCTCGACACTTTCAATTAGTTTCAAAGCACACTGCAGATTTACAGTTTTCATCCGAGAGACCAAAGAGCAGAAGAATTTGAAATTACCAAAGCGGTACATTCTCCAAAAGCATCAATCATAAAATCTAACAATTGATTAGACAGCGTCATAAACTTCATCAATGTGGTATCGCAAAGAACAAATGGCGTCTATCCTTCTCTCCTAACGGGTTTTAATTGTTTACATAATTTGGTAATGTACTCGATTCATTGGTTGATCCAGAAAAAAAATTATAAATCTCCTGATAATTGCTGAAAAAGTTAACTGCTAGAGTACAGGAAAATGCTGCATCACTGACAATAAGTTTTCATGAACGGCTTTCACAAGAAAAAAAAAACGCTCGTGGCTTAAGGTCAAGGATTCTTTTTTGTACGTTTACGTTCTTTCCCTTCATGTTTGATCCATTATCATAACCTTTGCCAAATATATTTTGTAAAAATGTTCCTTTTTTTAAAAATTTATTTAACAAAAAAGCTGTCAATCCTTCCCCAGATGTATCTAAAACCTGAAAAAATTCAAGAAAAAGTCCCATCACCTTTACTTCTTCTTCTGCAACTGCATACACAAACCAAGCTACATGTATTATTTGTTCTTTACACATTACGTCAGAAGTTTAGTAAAGATTTATAGAATAATACAAAGCTTTTTGCAGTTAACACAAAATAAACTCAATAACTTTACAGGAAAAAAGGCCAATAAATTCATTTTTTACTTAAAGAATGTGCTTGATTATCTTAGGTAGTTACCCGTTGAAGGTGTTCGGAAAAAATAGGGCAAATTTTGAAATGTGTTCAACAAGTTTTAAAAAACTTTCACTGTTTTTTTTTGAAAACTGTTACATACTGTTCCACGAAAAGCTCATCCCTGAGTACCAAGGAATTGCACAATACAAAAAGAGGATTTAAAAATATTTTTTTGTTTTAAAACAAGGCTTTGTACTGTATATTTTATAAATTTTTTTTTTTTTTAAGAAAAAGCTAAACCTTAAATAAAAATGAAATTGACGTACATTTACTGGTACTTTGTTGTAAATTAAAGCACTTTTTGTACAGAAAAAGATTTAGCTTGAACTGCTTTATCAAGAAGCAGATTTAGCTTGAACTGCTTCATCAAGAAGCAGATTTAGCTTGAACTGCTTCATCAAGAAGCAGATTTAGCTTGAACTGCTTCATCAAGAAGCAGATTTAGCTTGAACTACTTCATCAAGAAGCAGATTTAGCTTGAACTGCTTCATCAAGAATGCCTTTTAAATCTTAAGAATTTTCTGACGTCTTTTGCACTTAGAGTACAATTTGTTTTATTTTTTGTTTGTTATGAATATAATTATGGTTAAAAGTGCACCCAACATCAAGAAAAGAGAATTATAAAAATAGAAAACAGTCGTTATTAAGGCTTAAATAAAGGGTAACCTATTATCTCTTTAACTTATTATTATTTTGTATTAATTATCAAAGTTGATTGTAATAAATGCACTCTTATATCACATTTTACTTGCAATTGATGCTGATTATCGTTTGGATTTCTTTCTTCCATTCTATAAGAAAATTTAATTAATGTATTTGTTTGTTTTGTTTTTTTGCGTTCTCTCTTCATATCTGGTTTACGTTTTTGTGTCAGCGTTAGGACAAAGAATTTTCTCAATTATATCAGTTTTGATAATGCTGTAAAGAGTAGCGCGATTGAGTTTGAGATTTATTAGTGGTGGTGTAGGATGAGTACTTTTTTTTCATCTAAAACCGCAACTCAGCTGCAAAGTTGTTGTCAAGATCCTCCTGACAAAATTCAATTATTTACTTAGTCCGTTCTACATATTATCTACATATTATAATATTTTATCCCACAGAATGAGCATGAGTACAAATTTCAACTCTTGCATTTTGCTAGAAATATTTTCCGTTTCTCTTATGGTGTCCCCCTTTTGATTTTAACCCTACAGACGTTTGTTTTTAAAAGTTACGTTTTAAAAAGACGTTTTAAAAGTGTCTTTTAAATGTTTTTTAAGCGTTTTTTAAACGTTCTTTACGTAACATTGTTTAGAAGACGTTTGAAAGACACTTAAAATACATTTAGAACGTAACTTTTAATAACAAATGCCCGTTGGGAATCCTCGGAAACATTCTTCAAAGCAGTGAGAATTTGTTGAGAAGACATTAAAACAGCATTAGTTGTAACAGCATGTATTTCCCATTGAGTATCTGAAAGTAATTTCAGTACTTTTTCAATACCAAAGTTATTTTTTAGAATATTCTAACGGTCTTTTGATGTAGAAAAAAAACGTAGAGAGCAATTGTATTAAGTAAAGAAAGTTAACTGCATAATGACCAATCAAATTTAAGGAGTGTGCTGCACAAGGGGTATAGATGGTAAATTTGCATTAAAACATAATCTTTTGCTGCATTCTTTTTCTGCATGCTTTGTAAGTTTCTGACATTTTAGCTGTATTACCAGATGCTTACTAAAATTAATTTTGCAGGCATCGCGCAAGAATTCAAAAATTTAAATTTTAGCCAACGTTTCCCCTTCTCCTATTTTTAAACCTTTTTTCATTCATCGGAGGAGAAAAGATTATTAGACCTCATTACTCACATAACAATTGCTTTTTTTTTAATTATATACCAGGACATATTTAACCTGTCGCTGAAATAAAACTCTTCTTCTTTTATTATATACCTCATTTTTTTATTTATTTACACTTTTGCCGATAAAAAAAAATTTACAGTCGTAACTTATAAAAAAAATAATTACATGACCGGGGCTAGAAGAAGACAAATTTAGTCTTATCATTAAGCCCCAAAAAATGCGTCATTACTAGACAAAATATAGTTTAACAATAAAATATAGTTTCAATATATATATCTCTGATTTATATTATAAAAGAAAATTTAAATATATCGCATATCGTTTAAAATTTATAGTTTTTCAAAGAATAAGATTTAACAATTGTTTTGTAAAATAAAAGAAACAAAGTTTAATAAAATATTAAAATGACAAAAATAACATTTAAGACTTGGTTTGAAAAATAAGAAGATATGATTTTATATAAAAACGTTTTATTGGAAGAGCATTTTATAGTTTAACTTATTTAATTATATTTATAATACTTTTCATTGCCAATTAAGTAAAAGCAAATAAACAGTATAAAATAAAAGTAAAAGATTAATAAATAACGCAAAAATAAAAAATAAATTTCTCAAAAAGAAGATTATCATTTAAAATGATAAAAATATATGTACAATTGTTGATTAACTATGTATTAATAATCTAAAGTAATTAATTAATTAACTATTAATTATTGATTTCTAATATAAAGAAGTTTTATTAGAAAAAATTTAATTCATTTTCAGTTAACAAAAGTAATTGCTTAAGTTTTGTTTTGAATTGGTTTAGAGAATAGTTAGTTTTCATTTCATTATTTTATATTATGTTCCACAACTTTGGTCCTCGGTTTACAATAGAGAATTTAGTAGCAGAA